CGCGGTAGCCCTGCGCCGCCAGCTGCGCCACCTCGGCACAAATTGAGGAGGAGGGGCGGGAGCGCTCGCGGCCTCGCGTGTGTGGCACGATGCAGTACGAGCACCTGTTCACCGCTCGAGGTGTGAAGCGGCGCCGTTCACAGCTCTCGCGCCTCTGTCCGAGCAAACGAGACATGTTGTTGCAGCCGCGCATGATCGAGACGAAGGCGGAGATGCCGTCGCTGCCCTCGCGCACCGGCGCCACGTCAGCGTACGTCTCGTCAAGCGAGAGAGCGACGTCGAGGGCCGGCTGCCCGCCGCGCGCCTTGTTCACACCTCCAGGTGTGAAGAGCCGCCGCTCCAGCCGTGAAGAGGTGCTTCCCATGCGTTGGCACGATCACCAGTCTTGCGACATCTGGCTTCCCAAACTAGGCTTGCAAACGGCAGGCCGCCGCGCGCCTGCGCGAGCAGCCGAGGCAGTGCGCGGTAGGCATCCGGCCCGCAGACGACGTCCACCAGCTGGTCCTCCTCCAGCAGCCTCCCCTTGAGCCGCTCGCCCATGCAGCCAAGCAGCCCGACGACAGGCCGCGTTGGCCGCAACCCGCCGCGCGCACGCCAGCCCGCCGCCTCCTTCCGCCGCTCGGCGCGTATGGCGCGCAGCCGCGCCCAGATCTTGGCCTCGGCGTTCTCGCGGATCGCGCACGTGTTGAGCAGCACCACGTCCGCGCCGGAGAGCGACGCCGCGTGCGAGTAGCCCGCGCCCTGCAGCACGGACCGCACGACCTCGGTATCCGCCACGTTCATCTGGCAGCCGTACGTCTCCATGTAGACGCCGCGGCCTGGCGCAGAGGCGGGAGGGTGCCACGTGGGCGGCTACTCGCGGTGCAGTGGCGGCGTCGAGGCGGCGCCTGCTCCGTCGAGCTGCGCCGAGGTGAGGTAGGGCGGCAGGTTTGTCTCGCCGACGTCCGCAGTACCCTCGTGCGGCGTGAAGTCGCGCAGGCTCGCGGCAAACTCGAGCCGTCGGCGAGAGGGCGTTCGCGCCGAGAAGGCACGACGTGACGACTGCAACGACGAGGACCAGGCCGCCGCAGCGCGAAATCGGCTCCCGGCCGCCATGTCGTAGAAAAAATAATCGACCTCAGCCTGGTAGCCGCTGCGCAGTGGCACGCGAGGGAGACGGGAGCGGTACTACTACAGCTGTACATGGACGCCACCTCCGCCTATGACACCATCAGCCACCGAGGGACGGGCGTGGCTTGCGAGGCACTGGCGATGCCCGACGACGTGGTAGATGGAGTCCTCGGCGGCGCCGAGTTGCAATTGTCGGAACACCACTCAGCGCTCACCGCGGTCGGATTCATGCTGACGCACTTCACAGGCTGAGAGGCCTGATGGCGCGTTGCTTCCCGGCGCAGCGGCTTCGATTTGGGGCTCGATTTGGGGCTCGGATTGGGGTTGGGGCTGGGGCTGGGGTGGATGGCGGGGTGCGGCTGGGCGTAGTCGTCATTGTCCCAGCGCCCGCCGTCATTCTTTGGCATGAGCGCCTCGCTGATGAGGCCACCCAGCGTATGCGTGCAGCCTCCGTCGCAGTCCATCGTCTTCGGGAAGCAGCCCGGGTTGTCGCCCGAGAAGGTGCACCGCTGCTGGGCTGAGTCGACAAAAAGCTGGCACACGAATCGTGCCTGATTGGCATTGACAAAGTTGGACGTCTCCGCCGAGACGAAGCCGGAGAAGTGCACGCACGGGTGGCCCTCCCATGCTGTCTCGTCGTCGGTGCAGGAGAGGTGCTCCTCCACCTTGAAGACGGAGATGCCCCACGACTGCTCGTTCTGCTCGTCGGCGCTGCACGTGGACGTCGGCTCGAGCAGCGCGATGTTCCTGTGGTCCCACGCGGGCGACACGAGCGCGTCCGCCTCGTCCTGGTCGCCCTCGATGGTGTTCGCCTTGTGGTGCGGAAAGTCGGTGAACTTGACCGACGTCTGCGGGTAGTAGTTGAAGGAGATGTCCGCGACAAAGTGCTCGACGATGTTGCCAGGCACATCGTCGTTCGCGACGTCACGCTCGTTGTTCATGACGACGTCGAGGTTGGAGCAGAAGCCGGAGGTGGCGATGAGCCAGTTGGGGTCCTCGACCACGTTAGGCGGGTCGGGGACGACCGGGTTGATCGGAGCAAACAGCGGCCCGCGCTCTGTCGGGGTCGGCGTCTGCGCACGCACGGAAGTGACCAGGTCGGCTACAGGGTCGGCTAGGGTGCAGCTGTGACGGGGATGTGAGGAGAACGTTCGTGTCGAGCAAGGAAGCGCTCTCACCGGAAGCGCATTCACGCCGCCACCCAGGACGGCGATGAAGCCGAAGAGGGAGCCAACAGCCGGCTTGAGGTGGGTCATCCTCGCCTCGCCGCTGGCGAACCTGCGTGGAAGCGCGCTGAGTGAGCGACTGGCGGGCTCGGCTTCAGGCACGTCACAGTGAAAATCAGTGGCTGCTCAGCGGCTGCGCGGTGGCGTGCAGGCCTCGCGGAAATCGCGCAAGGTGGGCACTCGAGAGGCCGCGCCGAGGGATTCACTTGTGACTTGAAAGTCCGGTGGGCGCCGAGTTGTAAAATTCTAAAGGCGGCGCGTGAAAATGTGCCTCTTTTTTGCGTCGACGGGGCATGCCAGTCGATCGATTTCTTCGGCGACAATTACAACACAGGCCCACCCACCAACCAACCAAGCAACCAACCACCGGCCCGGCGGCCCCACGAGCCACGACAGCGTCCTCGCCGCCTGGGCGGACGCGATGCGCACCCCGTCCAACGCGCCTTATAGTGCCAGTGCGCGCCAGTCCGTGGTTGCTAAGCCGTGCGAGCGGCGCAAGCGAGGAGTGGTCGTCCGGGAACCCAGCGCAGAGCAAGACCAGATGGTCAGCGCCAGTCGGCCCGGCGACGAAGAGAGTGCCCGCGCCCTCCAGATCAAGAAGGTCGTGCGGGACCGCCTTGAAGAAGAGGTTCAGCCGCGAGGAGGGTGACGAGGAGGGAGAAGACATGGTCTGAATAGAGGTGCGAACGACTGGCGGCGGCGTGGCGTGGCGACCGACAGCGGAGGGCCGAAAAAGAATTTTACAACCCAACTCCCTCGCACAACAACTGGCCGAAAAAGAATCTTACCAGAAGACTCCCTCGCACAACACTGGGCACGGGACTGGCGCGCACTGGCACTAACACAGGCACAGTGTTGTGCGAAAAAGAATTTACGCTCTGGCGGGCCGGGGCGCGCGCTGTGCCTCGGGGTTCGTGCGTCGCCCCCTTACTTATTATGCGCCGTCCACGCTGGCAGACCCCCACAATGCGCTTTTTTTGTTTTTTCAAACCTGTGTGCGAGGCCCCGCGAGCGAGGGAGACGGGTCAGCGGAGCAGCAATGAGCGAACTCGAGGACGAGCAAAACCGTCCGACCCTGACAACCCCGCCCCCCTCGAGAGCCCGTCCGTGTCTGGTCCATGGTACGTGTGTGTGAGTGTGTGTGTCCTGTCGGCTCGCCTCCCCGTGAGCAGGCCTTCCCGCTCCACACATGTGCATGTGCATGTCGCGCACACCACACACGAGGGAAAGAGAACCAGTCCGAGACAGGGAGCCACCGAGACGACAGAAGGCGAGAGTCCGAGGCAAACGTGTGTGCGCCTTTGTGACCGGGAGAGCATCCAGCGAACTCCTTGGCTAACAAAAAATACGACGAGGGGACGGGAACCATGTGTGGGCACACACACACACTAGCATCACCAGCACGCGACACCACGCGTCAGACCCCGTTTGCGGCCGCTCGGGTGCAGACGCGTCATTTCACACACGGAAGCGAAATTTTATCGTGCTGGTAGCACGTTGGATGCTGCCGTCGGCCTCGCGGATCGCGAGAGCTCATACACGAAGAGGGAGATCAGAGTGAACAAGCTCAAGGCCACCGTGGGCAGCAGCCGCCGCAACGCACCAGCGATGGCCAGCGTCATCGTGGGCGTGGCCAGGAGCATCCTCATGCGCGGACTGGCGCGAGCGGCGGCACGAGGCGCGATCCGCGCCGGAGCGTGTGCAGGCCTGGCGTCGGGGTGGCGCACTGCCTCGGGAGGCGGCATTGCCACTGGGCGACGGCTCGGCACGCCATGCCACTCGGAATGTCCATCCCAACCGTGAAGCCGACGGCAGAGCGGAGAGATGCGCGACGTGTGGACAGCCGCCGCGGTGGGTGTCAGGAGGAGCAGCAGTACGGAGGAACTCGGGCACATGGCGGCAGCGAGGCGCTCTCGGTCCTCCGCTCAACTACTCCTTTCGAATCAGGCTCGCAAACATGAATTTTCCTATAATCAAAGGAGGTTTGCTTTTGCAATCAGCGTGAAATTACCGAAAGTAAGTGCGTATTTCACAGCTCGTGTGAGTAGTGAATAGAATTCCGAACGTAAAGATAGCCACATTACACTGAAAACCCACACAGTGCACACAGAGTGGAAGAAAGAGAATTTTACAACAAAACTCCCTCAGAAAGAGAACATCTCTCTCTCAGAGTGGACATTGCACACAATTCCCGTAACACCCAAAACACAGAGTTCACTCGCCCCCGCATCAACAAAACAGAGAACAACTCTCTCCCTCCCCCCTCACGACTCAGCCCCACGCACGGCGCACGGAGGACTGAGTCGCACATTCCTACAGCACTTGCCGCGTTGGCATATACGCGTACGCCCGCGAATCGCTGCCGTCGCCGCCCCTTCTCCGCCCGCGCCCACCTCTCACGCCTCGAGCGGCGCGCCCGCCCTGTCCGCCCTGCGGCGCTGGGGCGTGCCGCCCTCCGAGACGGGGTACGCTTCGTGGCTCCGTCGCGGCTTGCTCTCGCCGCCGCCCTTGCCATCCTTGCAGACAGTGCCGTAGAGGTCGCCGGGCGGCTCATAGGTGCCGAAGAGGCGGTCGAGCAGCGTGAGCCGCTTCGAGAAGTTGGAGAGGGGCTTCGTGTGGTGCATGGTGTGGTCGGGCACCTGCTCTCGGCACAAAGGGCGTGAAGAGGCTCGCAGCTGGCCCGTGTGCGGTGGCCAGGCGGTCTCGGCCCGTCTCGTGTCATCTCGTGCGCGCTACCTTGAGGTCGAGGTTGAGCAGCTCCGGGATGATGCGGAGCGGGTGGCCGTTCACTGTCCACGACATTTGAGTGTGGCCGAGCAGCTCGACGAGGTGGGCCCACGAGACGAGGAGCGCGATGTCGAAAAGGGTGTAGTTGTAGACGCGGCCGATGAGCTCGAAGCCGATCAGGTACGAGCCAAGGATGGAGGCCGTCTCCAAAAAGCTCAGCTCGTACGTCTCGTGCGCCACCAGGTGGCCGTGCTCCTATCAAGAGCGCTCCAAGAGATAGTCGAGATGTGGCCGAGATGTAGTCGAGGTGCAGCAGCCGCCGGCCGTGCGCCTTGCCGGTGTCGGCGTGGTGCGGCGCGTGCAGCCACCGGTAGAGCGTGCGGTTGACGTGGCAGGAGCGGTGGAAGGTGTAGAAGCCAACGTCCAGCCCAATGTCAAAAACAAAGGTGCGCCACGGCGCATGCAGCCACGACTCGACGGTGGGGTCATCGATTTTTACCCACGGCCAGATCATGTACCCCACCGTGAGCCCCACCGCCTCCAGGAACGAGACCTTCAGCTGCGTCCGCACCGCTCGCAGGCAAAGCGGCTTGAGCGGCCGGCCCTCGTACTCGTCCGCCATCGCCTGCACGGACCACGCCTCGAAGAGGCCTATCGGAAGGATGAACGGCCAATAGACCGCTGGCCGGTCGAGGCCGACGCCTTGCGAGAGCTTGACGAGACGCATCACGGCGAAGCGGGCGAGGACGACCACCGTCTGTTGCGGCCACAGCCGACAGATGAAGCGGCACCGCCGCCAGCGGTCGGCCTGCGGAGAGGTCCTGTAGACCCAGCAGAGGTTGAAGGCAAATCCTGCGAGCCAGACGGCCAACATGCTCTTTGCGTACTCGATCGACGCCATCGTGACGGCAAATGGGTGGTGTGGCAGCGGCGGAGGTGGGCTTTGTGACCTTGGGGATCGACCTGTGCTGAAGCCGCCGGGTTTCTTTTCGGCCCCTAGGGGTGGTAAAGGGGTTGTTAGGGGGGGGGGGGGTCCAGAGATAAAAATTCTGTGATGCCATGCGTGACCTAGTAGTGTCCCAAGCTATGGGCGTGTCCACGTTGCAGCCAGAATTCTTTCTTTTTGAGCTAGACCTCGTTGTTACTCGCTTAGTGTGGGTAAACCATAAAAGTAGGTTTGAATTCGTCCACGTAAGGCTTGGTGAGTGGTTGGGGTGGCCTCAGGCATCCCCAAGGGAGCCTCTGCGGTGCCACATAAGCAGCTTGGTGATTGTCGAGACTTTAAAGGATTCGTTTGAAGAAACGCAAACACGCCAGACACTACTATGGTCACCAGTAAACCATAATTCGACTTTGAGGGATCATATCTCAAAAAGCCGGGAGATAGCATAGCATTATTGTTGCATATTATACCAAATAAGGTCAAACTTGACCCCACAAGCATCAAGAACCCGATGCTCCGGCTCGACTGTGCCGGCACACTGCCTCCTCGCGCCAGCTGCTCGCAGGCCGTCGCGGCCCGTGGTGCACCAGAGAGAGAGGTCGACGCGTTGCCCCCGCCGGCGACCCCGCGCGGCTCAGGCCGGCCAGAAGGTGTCTGGTGACGGCGCCGTGGCAGGAGTGCGGAGAAGAGCTCGCCGAACGCGAGCAGAAGATGTCCAAAGTGTGCTAGCGCGAGAGCCTCGCGAGCGGGCGCAGAAGGAGCTCGCCGTGACACGATGCCGGGCGGTGGTGGTGCTCTGGCGGCTGTGCACAGTGGGCAAAGTCAGGCTGCAACAGGGCAGCACGGTGGTAGTGCCCTGCTGCAGCCTGGCCTGACATGCACAGGGCGAACAGAGACACTACTATCGTCCGGCGCTCGTCGACGAATCTGGGCCAACTTCGACCGCCGCCACAGCTCGCCACGAGCACGCAGCGACAAAATGTTGACTGTACGGAAGTCGAGGCTGGTCGAGAGGAAGAGGCTGCCGTGCGAGCCGGCAGCAGGCTGGCTCGTCGTGGACTGCAGCGGCGACTTTTATGGGCTTCTCTGTTCATAGTAGCGTGCACGCTACTATGGTTTACCCACATTAAGGGAGTACAAGCGAAGGCACACACAACATGACGCCAAACACACGATTGCACGCACCGCACACCGTACCCGGCACCCGCGCCCGCCGCCCCCCCGGCCCCCGCCCCGCCTAGGTGGGAAAGAGACGAGGAGATGGTTCTTTTTCGCCAGTGCGCGCCAGTCCCGTGCCCAGTGTAAAGAAAGAAAGAAAGAAAACAGACAACCCAAGGGAGGGATGGGAGGACGGAACCGTGCCCAGTGTTGTGCGACGGAGTTTTGTTGTAAAATTCTTTTTCTCCCGTTGTTATGAAAATACTTGTCGGGATTTTTCTGAGCTTAGCCTTCTCGATGTTAGAGCCGTATGAAAACAAAAAGGCGGACATGGCATATCGCTCTCGGGCTCACAGACATCCCTCACACCCGCGCACACCCGCCGCCCCCGCGCGCGCGCCCCACCCCGGCCGGGAGAAAGGGGAGTGACAGTTTGGGATTGCAAGCCCGAGTATGTTGAGTCCTGGCTCAACAACGCAGATAACAAGAGGGGGTGGTCCGGCTCACAGGTCCGGCTCACGCGCCTCGAGCTCGCCAATCTACCGCACTGAACACTTCCGCCCCCTCGCTCCCAACCCATCCACCCCGCCCCGGGCCGCGCCGCGCGATCTCGGGCGATCTCGCGCTATCTCGGGCGATCTCGGGGCCGCGCCGCGCGATCTCGGGCGATCTCGCGCTATCTCAGGCGATCTCGGGGCCGCGCCGCGCTATCTCGGGCGATCTCGGAGCGTCGCTCGCGCGGCGTCACACCTGCTCAAAAAGGAAGGAGGTTGGAGGCAGGAGGTCACGCCCCATCCAGAGCGCCGCCGTCGCCGGGTTTTTGGCCCCCGGGTCGTCGCCCGACGGTTGCTGCGCGGGGCAGCAGACCGTCGGACGGCGCGACGACGCCCCGTCCGGCACGCTCCCCCCTCCACCCGGCTATTGCCGCACGAGCGCCCTCAGCGGCGGAATTTTTCCCTCGCGCTTCCTTGGGCCCCCGGCAACGCCGACGGACTTCCCGTCCCCCCACCTGCGCCGCAATCACCGCCGTGATTGTCGGCGCTGCGCCCCTTGGCGCCTGTGCATATCCCGCGTGCCCGCCCGCCAAGGCTGGTGCCAAGGCCAACTCAACTGCCAAGGCTGGTGCCAGGGCCAAATCAACTGCCTGGCTGGTGCCAAGGCTCAAAGGCTCTCCTCTCTCTCTCCTCCCTCTCTCCCTCCCTCCCTCCCTCACCCCCCCCCCTCTCTTCTCTCCTCTCCCCCTCCTCCTCTCTCCTCTCTCCTCCTCTCTCCTCTCCTCTCCTCTCCTCTTCTCATCCTCTCCCCTCTCCTCCTCTCCTCTCTCCCCCCCTCTCCCCCAGCAGCTTCCTCGAGGCCGAACAGGTAGATCCTCCCTGATCGCTAAGCTACCACAGGGGACGGCCAGGTAGTAGACGTCGTCCGCCGCCGCCTCCGCCGCCCGCGTGCCTCCGCCCCGCTCAGCAAAAAATCAGCATTATATGAGGAGGTGCCAAAGCAGCAGTATCTCCATGAGGTGAGCGTCGTGCGTTTTGCCGCGGCGCGCCGCCGCTGCGCCGACTGGCTCCCGGTTCGAATCGTCCTTCGCGGAGCGAACGCGGCGACACGTGCGCACGTCGCGCGCGTGTGCGCCTGCGACAAGACGAGACGAGACGAGAAGAGAAGGAGAAGAAGAAGGTTGATGCTTTTGCGTCTGTTTTGGCGCCGACGACGCGACGCGCCCCGCTGCGTGAGATGGCGCCGCCGCGGAGTCGGCGCCGCGATCAACCGCGCGCCAGCGGCGAGCGGCGCAGCGCGGCCACCATGCGGCGCGACGTGCCCGCCGACAGTCTTTCTTTCTGAGCTTAGCCTTCGATGTTATAATGAAACAAACGCGTACTGACGGTCGGCCGCCAGAAAACACGCCTCCGTGGCTCGGGTTACACCAATCCTCGCTACCCAACGCGGCCAAAGGATATCCACCTCGAGAACCTCGAGAGCAGCGTATCTTTCTTTCTTGGGGCGTGCGCCCCTAGCTCTGCGGACGGGCCCCTCCACCCTTCATACCGCGAACGGGCATACCCGGTGACTGCCCGTGATGCTCGCCAGCGCCGTCCTCTCCCCGCTCTTCGCGCCTCGGCAGGCGTCCCTGATCGCCGGCAAGTGGTACCCGGACCCCGTTCCTGCCTTCCCAAACGCCGACGGCGAGATCGGCCGGCTCCGGCAACAGCTCGAGCAGGCGCAGGCGGATGCGGCGGCAGCGCAGGAGCGCGCACGCGCTGAGCCCGCGGCGCGCTCTCGGGCGGCTGAGGAGGGTGGAGCGCGGAGGGCAGCAACTCGACCGATTGCGCTGCCGCCGCCGGGAAGCCTCACGGCAATCATAAGCCCCGCCCGAGCTCACACCATGGTGCACGATCCGCTCACGCCTGCGCCTTCACACAGACCTTGAACAGAAGAAGGTGCCTCGAATAGCGCGGCTCCCACCTAGGCGGTCAACCTAGGGATGTGGTTCTCGCTGGCGGTGGCGTCGGCGCTGCGGATGCGGCACGGTGCGACCGCCGCGGCGACGGCTTGCCTGGCGCTGGGCGTGGCGGGCTGTGCGCTGGCACTGCTGCAGCTGGCGAGGCCGCTGCTGACCAGCGTCAGGAGGTGAGAGCAGTCAGGCCCTTCCTCTCCTCCACCCTCCCACCCGACGATGGCTGAGAAGCCTGGTTCCTGCCCCTCTGCTCCTCGCTGCAGCGCTCTCGGGATCGACGACAGAGGAGCAGTCGCCGGCGAGCCGCGAGCTTCGCCGAGATTCGCCGAGACGAGCGAGAGTAACCACCAAGTCGGATTGGTCGACACGGGCCGACGAGCCGAGAAGAGCCGAGCTTAGCCGAGATGAGCCGATGTTGTTAGCCCAGAGAGGGTTGCTCGGAGCGTGCGAGCGGGCTTTTCTCTTCACACCGCCCGCGCGCCCGCGCCGTGAGCAGGCAAGCTGCGATGCTACGCCTGCCGCGACATCTTCGACGTACCGCGCGGGGCCAAGCGGGCCGTCTGCCCGTACTGCGGCACCGCCAACCAGGTGTGAGCGTGCGTCTTGCTGTTGAGCGTGTGTGGAGCGGCAAGCGCGCGTTTGGACGACAATTGAACAATCGTGTGTCGCTTCCGGTGTTTGCGGCCCCTTTCAGTCGATGAGGGTTCTATCGGATCACGTATGAAAGGGAATGTGGTTTGGGGCCGACCTGTGTACGGCAGTTTTTAGAACTTGTAGCGGGTTGTACTCCTCCGCCCTTTTTTTGTGTGTGTAGAAGGGGGGGGTTCCCTCACTCCAAGGAGTGGGGGGATTTTCGCACGCTCAGTGTGGCGAGTCGTATATGAACAATCCCTACGCCTACTTATAAGCTACTCTCTCTCAAACAAGACTTGGGGGTAGGAGCCCAATGTGCCCGGTAACGATCCGTCCACCTGCACCGCACTGCGGGTGTAGCATAGAGGCAAGAGGGTCAATCTAGGCCTCTCTTATTAGGCCTCTCTCTGGAACGCCTGTGCACGCCCCGGCGTACGCCGTTACCGGCACCGGTCGGTCCTGACAGGGTTAGTCGCGTGTAAGTCGCGTGCTTCTGCTTGATCGGATGCGGGTGCGTGCTGTTGCGGGTGCGTGCTGTCGCTTGATCTGGTGTGCAGCCGCGAAGCCAGGTAACCTATGCTCCTGCTTGATCGAATGTGGACTGCGCTGCCGTGGCGGCTGCAAGGGGCTTTTGCTGCTCTTCTGCGTGCACACGGTCGACCCAAGCTCCGGAACACAGTGGGAAGCATGCCGGTATGGCAGATCCCAGGGCACTGGGTGGCTGTAAGGAATCATTCTTGCCGGCATCTGGAACACTTGGCTAGCGTTGAGCAGATATGGCAATGCCATCGAGCGATAATCCGCATCGCCCAGGTTCTGCTTGTATGTTGGGCCGTGCATGAAGGCGCCCGAGTGCTCCACCGCCATGAACAACCTCCAGTGGAGGCGGGTGCGGAAGACGTGCAGGCGCACCACCTCAAGGTTGTTGTAGTAATACCTGCCATTGTACTCCCCGCGCGAGTTGACAAAAGGCAGACGCAACGCTGCATCCACTTTCAGGTGGGGATTCGCCTGGTTGAAGCTGCGCAGAGCTCCGTCCAGCCGTGAGCTGGACGCGGCTTTGGAAATCGTCTCATAAGCATACGCGTAGTGCCTCGCCTGCAGGTGGGCAAACACGTCTTTTGGCCAAGCGCTGGTGATCCGGGAGTCACCTCCGTCCACACGCAAGTACCAGTCGACTTGGAGCAGTAGTGGCGAAAACATCACGAGGGCGGCATAGAAGCGGCACATGGTCCGGTAGCCAAAGCCGTGGAACGTGCCGCGCATTGACGGTGACGATAGATTGCCGCCACGATGGCTGAGGTTCACGTCCCGGAACACCGCCGCATAATCATAGTATTTGGGGAGGGCGGCGTCGACACTGAAGTTGACGCGCTGCCAGACCACGGCAGAGGATCTGACCTGGTCGCTAATCCGTTGCTGCTGCGCGTCTGTCAGGTCCTCATGATGCACCACGAGCGGGTATGCACCGTGGTGGCTGAAGAAGTGTTCGTCCAGCGCGGCCGCCATGTTTGCGATGTTCCACGACTGGTCATGCTTGTTGCCGCGCGTGCAGTCTTCGCCACAGGTCGCCTGGAAGGCGAGAATGGTAACGGCGCCGCGCGGCTTCGTCGGTTGCTTGGCCTGTAGCTCCTGGATGCGCTGCACGCCGGCGCACGTTTCGTTGAGCCACGAGCTGGTGTGCCACAGGCGCCCGCTCGCGGCTGCAAAGCCAGGGCGCTGATTGTCGATGGAATGGACGAAGATGTCCGCGTGCTTGTCTGGCTCGGCGCCACACGTGACCACTGGATTGAGATGATGTGGGATGGACATCACCACCAGATGTGGGATGGACATCACCACCAGATGTGGGCGGAGGAGCGGCGTTCCACGGGGGCTGCAAAAAGAATTTTAAGGATGGTTGCACAAAAGTCAATCAATCAATACTCCCTAGGGTGGGCGACGGATAACGCACCACACACCTCTCCTTAAAATCCCTGTGTGGTGGCGGCGTGCCGTCCTCCCATCCCTCCCTTGGGTTGTCTGTTTTCTTTCTTTCTTTCTTTAATCAATCAATATCCCTAGGGTAGGCGACGGCTAGCGCATCACACTCCTCTCCTTAAAATCCCTGTGTGGTGGCGGCGTGCCGTTCTCCCATCCCTCCCTTGCGTTGTCTGTTTTCTTTCTCTTTCTTTCTTTCCCTCGCCTGCCGCCGCTCTCTGCCCTCTCGGCGGCCGCCACAGCGAGCACCCACCCGCAGCCCGGGGGCCACGCGGCCGGGCACCAGGCCTTCGATGGCGGCCTCGCCCGCCATCGACCTGGGAGAGCCGCTCGCGGCTCTGTTCAAGCGCGCGCGCGTCGCCGACAACCTCTACCGCAGGTATGAGGGGCGGCTCGCGGAGCTGGGCATTGGCGATGCTGGCGACCTCCTCGACGAGGTCGCTGAGAAGGGCATCGGCTCGCTCGACATCCACGACCGCCAGGCGGAGAAGCTCCGCCAAGCTCTTCTCGGCCGGCGGGGCTGGGGGGACGCAGCTGCGGTCTTGGCATCCCTCAGCGGCTTGTCGCTGGGCGACACCCCGGCTGGGGTGGCGGCTGGCGATCAGGCGGCTGGTGGCGGGGCAGCGGCTGGCGGCGAGGGCCGCGGCGGCGCGCGCCCCGAAGAGGCGGACGGCGGTGCCTGCGACGCGCAGGCCGCTGAAGGTGGGTCCGGAGGTGGGACCGAGGGATCCAGTTTGGACCCCTTGGAGCCCGCGCTGCCGGAGAGCGTCGATGGGACGATCGACGCCGCGGGGGGGGAGGAGGAGGTCGAGGGCGGACGGAAGGCGCCGCGGCGCCGCCGAGGGCGGCGCGGCCGTGGCGCCAGGGGTCGCGGGGGAGGGCTCGAGAAGGTGCCCGACACCGCGGCGGGTTTGGCTGCTGAGCGGCCCAACCCCGTGGAGGAGGTTTCCACCGGCGGCGCGGCGCCGGCGGAGGGGGAGGAGGGCGGCCCGCCCTCGCTCGCTGCTGATGGACCTGGACGTGCCCCATATTGGGGGCCCGCCGGCATTACCCCGCCCGAGACGCCGGTCTCGGACGCTGCCGGCGCGCCCCACCCTTTCATTCTGTTAGATGAGGCCACGGGTTCTAAGGCGGGCGAGGCGGCTGCTGAGGCGTTGGCGGAGGCGGCGGTCGACGCTGTCTACGGGGCGCTCGTAGCGGCGACGCTCGAGGAGTGGGCGGGCGCGAGCACGGACAACCCCGTCTCCGCGGAGGACGCTCGAGGCCCAGGCCTCGAGTGTCAGGATTGCTTTGGGCGCTTTTACGACGAGTTTGGCGTGGAGCCGTGGCTGTGGCGCCGGGCGTTGCGTGAGGGCTGGTCGGAGCTGGGGGGCTGGTCGAGAGAGGAGATGGAGGCGGCGGAGAAGGAGATCTGGCGCGGCGAGAGTTCTGAGATCTCTCAGCTAGGCGAGTGGGTCTGCGATGCTTGCTTGGAGGGCTATTTGGGGGGGGGCGTTGGCGACTACTCGGAGCTGCGCAGCGGCTACGTTGCGCCGTATCCGAGTAACCCCTGGATAGGTCGCTCGCGCGACCTCTCCTGGATGCGCAAGGGGCCCATAGGGGTCACGCGGAGGGAGGCGCTGTTAGCGGCGGAGGAGGCGAAGGCGGCCGCGCGGGCGGCGGAGAAGGCGGCGCGGGCAGCGGAGGGGGGGAAGGGCGGCGGCAGCGGGCGGCAGTCCCGCGAGGCACGCCGGCGGAAGGGTTCGTCTTCGCGGGGCGGGGTGCGCACTGCGCGCCGCGAGGATGAGGAGCCTGAGCCAGGGGAGGGTTGGGAAGGGGGGGCGAGGCCGGAGGAGTATGACGGCCTCTTCGACGGCCCATAAGGGGCCGTTGTCTGCTGTGCCTTTTGTGGTGCTAGTTCGTGCCAGTCTGCTGTGAGAGGGGCTTGTGTTCGTAGAATTCTTTCCCTCGATAGGGTGGCGGCGTGTTTCCTCCAATGGTCCGTACGGGCCGTCGCACAAGCCACAACACACTAGGCAGGGGACTGGCTCGCACCGGACTGCCACTGGCACCTCGACACGCCCGGACAGCGGACAGAGCTCAGTCCTCAGAGACGTCAGAGGGAGAGGCCACTTACCCGGCGGGCTAATATGTAATAAACGCGCGGTTCACGCTCACGGGTGGCACCGGAAATTTTCGAGGGAAACGAGCGAGGGTGCTTTTAATACCTCTTGGACATCCCTGTGCCACATCCGCGCCTTATGGCTGGCGGCGCCGTGCTTGCGGCACGGGGACCAGAGACGAGACAGAGACCGAACAGACACCCCCCCCTCCCATCCCCCCCCCCCCCCCCCGGCGAGATTCAATAGCAAGAGCCACCCTCGCACCTCTCCTCCATGCCCAGCCCCCTCAAGACTGCGTGTCGAGCCGAACCACGCGGCGGTTCAGCAGCTCTGTCGTGGTCGGCCTCCGCCATTGCGCGCCCGAGACACACGCCCACGGCCCCGACGCTTCGCTCTCGCGGTCCAAGCAAGCTCCGCGGCTGGCTCTGCGCTCTCGCCCAAGCGGACTGTGCGGAGACAGAGCTGGCCGCAGGGCTAGCGCTCCTCCTCGGCGTCGCTCTCCTCGCCGCTGTCGAGGTCGCTGTCCTCGTCGTCGTCGTCGTCGTCCGCCTCGAGCTCCAGCCGGATCAGCTCCTACAGCCCGAACTCTCGGGTCATCTCGGGTGCACCTCGGGCGCATCTCGCCTTGGGCTCCTGTCAGACAGAGAGAGAGAGAGAGAGAGAGAGAGA